CAATAGATGGCAGCACCAGTCTTCTCCTTTTCTACTCTGTGACGTGACAGAATTTCTTTATTATTATAACAGTTTATGATGTAATAATATTTCATGATTAACTTATAAGTCGTTTAGGATTAAATACTATGTTCATGGAGGAATGGGGAGTTTTCTGACCCTGCGCTAGGACTGAATACAAGTATATTAGTTTCATTTATTCTTTGTGTACTCAGCTCAAGTTTCATTCGCCTGTGTTTAGCTAAAATTTTTATTTCTATCTCTTTCCCAAGAGAAAGACTCATCAATTTCAAAACTGCCATCTGGGGCCAAAACTTCACACAATTGTGGGGGTTAAACGTGGCATGCTAGCCCCCAAAAGACACCTGTTGCTTCCTGTTTTCCAAAATCCTAGAATGTAAGAAAATGAAAAGAGGTGATTGACAACCAATTTGTCATTCGGGAGCCAGGCCTTCTTCCCTTTGTGAAGTGTGATAAGATCACACAAAGGGAAAGCTCACTTAGAACGGAAATGTACTTAAGATCCATCTCATAGTGTAATCACAAAAACTGCTGATTTGAAAGCATGCTTTTATTCTTTAGGGAAATTCTTTTTAATTCTTTGTTAATTTCAGATGAAAGACTAGAGAACACAAGAGAAATTTGCGCTCTGGTTGATACAAATAGGTTGTTTCGGAAATAAATTTTCACAGTTGGTGAAAGGAGGAAAAGTCTTTCTAAGCCCCGTTTTAGATGCAAACTAAAATTTATCCAAAAGTTGAAAAGGATCCCCTATGAAGCCAAAGGGGTTGAAAATCAAAATAAGAGCTTTGAGGTGCATCAAATAATACAATGTTTTTAACAATGTTTCTTCCTGAACAAAAAGATATACTACAGCCTATATTTACAAAAAATAAAAAAGGGACCCTTACGGTCCTCTGTCATCTAAAGTGTGCGTGCGTGGAGGGGGGGGGGGCAATTCTTCGTATCATGGTATGAAGCATGTTTTTTTCACATATTATCTAAAGCATAAAATACAACTTCAAAAATGCAACATACTTTCTCAGCTGAGTCGGTCGTAGTGCTTCATTTTTCAATTTTTTTAAATTTTCGGCTGAGTTACATCTGCTTGTAATATTATACTAGTTCAGTTACAGCATGATACGATTTACACATGCAGTGTTATATTTGCTAAATTTTTTTTTATAAAATAATAATACTGAATTTAAATCAAGTTGAAGAAGCTTTTTACCCATATTTTACATAAGTATGTTCAGCTGGGTTGCATCATCAAAGTGCATAAAAACATAAATTTTATTTTTAAAATTTTAAATTTCTGCCGAAATTTAAGAAAATTTTATCTTTAGACTTACATAACTATATTCAAGCACTCATCACTACAGATGCACATCAAAAGTACCCAAAATTAATTTTAAAAACAAAGATTAACAGTTGGCAACTACCTGGAAAAAAATGTCCTAGAGGGGCGCCGGTATAAAATATATACCGGCTCTCAAAATTCAGGATTTCGCTCTAGAATTTTTTTAAGTCTCAATTTTGTGTCCTTAAGATATAGTTCATGCAAAATTTTACCACAGTTTAAATTATTTTATATACCGCCCCTCAAAGGGTTAAACATGCCAACGTGAACTGTTTGCGCAGATAATACTTGCAGGAACGAGGAAACTTTCGTTAAAACCCGATATTAGTTAAGATGCATTATAAATTAGCTATAACATTCAACTATGCCTGGATAAATATAATAGTTTCACCCAAAATAAAATGGCAAAAACAAAATAAAAATATATTTAGTATTATTTATAACAATTTAGATTACCTTTCATTGGTAATTCAAATAATAAAATCTTTCAGCATTCATTTCTGGTAGATTTATTTGTAACTTACAATAGTGATTAAACCCACAGAACAATTTAAATCATAGAGTTTATATTATGTTATCCAGATGTTGCTCTTTAATTATCTCCCCCTCACAATTTATGTTAGCCTTGCACTGCAATAAAAGTGTAGAACATATGGCATTTTTGCCATTATTAAAAATTCTTGATGTTTCTAGCAGCATTATTTTTCACATCCCTCAGAAGTAAAATTGAAATTTCAGATGTCTGAAGACTTTTAGTTTAAATGAACTCACTGCCTATCCATATGCAAAATTTTGAATTGATTTATCAACATGTGTTTACGTGACTCCAAATAAAAGGCCAGTCAATGTTTAACTTTTATATACAGACAACCACCACTATACTAAATTTCAAGGGACCTAAGTTTGATTTGCTAAATGCTGTCCAGAAAAATTTCAGAGTTGATTCTGTAACAAGTCTCCAAGACTTTTCTAGTGTTGATATTGCATCAAAGAGAGAAAATACCTACTTCCCTTGTTTCTCCAAGATGCTCAAATAAAATTACTTTCTGTAATGAAATTTCAAATTCCTAACCATGCTCATGTCCAAAAGTGTGGGGACTTTGCATTTGGAGAGAGATTTTTAAATTTTAATATTTGATTTGTCATCATCTTATAAAACAGCTCAGATTCACAAGCATTAAAAATGTCTTTTTCTTTGTAACGGCAAGACACATCATCCCAAAGACTTTTTTCATTTCTTGATGTCAGATTTTCAAACACTCCCTGTCTCTCCAATAACTTTTCTTGCAGCCATTTCAGTATAAAAAGGCAGTCTTTGCAAAATGACTGGCAAATTTATTGGCCTTTCTGTGAAGCATTTATCCAAATAACGGCAGATTTCAGCTTTTGGTATTGTAAATTATGAATCTTTTCTGCAATGCTTCTTCAGTACCCTTAGGCTTGGTCTGTTTCAAATTTTTCTTTGTATCGAAATATTTTCCATGAGCAGAAATTATTGAGTCTTGATTTTTTCTGCAACAGATTTGGATAAACAGTATTCTGCCAAATACAGATATTCTACAAGTACTTCCATTTTGCATTCAAATAATACTCACCATATATTCGATACAAAACACTTTATATTTACACCTCACCATATGGGATGAATTTTTGACACAGTAAATTTCCATCAATACAGGGAATATACAGGTCAAAGAATATCTTTTGTTCATCTGAGAAAGCTGAAATAATATGTCTTACCCAATGTCTAATAAGAATGAAATTCATTTTTCTTAGCTTACGGATGGCTGCAAAGCAAAAGTGCAAGTCCCAAAATCCCATATCTTGAAGGGGGGATCTGAAAGGTTTCAGATTTTAACAGTCGCCAAAAAGGAATCATTTGAGGTTTTTTATGCTCCTACTGAGCTCGCAGTGTATCAGTCAAGGGTTATACTCACTCCTAGTAATTTTCTTTTTTTGTAACATCATTTTCTTCACACTTACGGCATATACAATTCAACAGCAAACTTTAAAAAAATTTTAAACCAACTAAGTATATATTTAAAATTCTAAATGCAGCATTAAGTGTTGGCATACATTTTTCTGGATTTTCAGTCTTTTCTCAGTTCATCATATCAATGATCACTTTTTTCTAAGATGGCTTCACAAAACTTTTTTCAGTCTTTTTTTTTATTAATGTTTTGAGGGTTTACTTTATTATATATCACATACTTGGTGCTTACACCACATAAAATACAATTCTACAGTAAAATCACAAGATATTTAAAAAAAAAAAAAAAAAATCTTTTAGAATTTCCTATAGACAAGCTCGCATGTTGGAGACAATCCCCCCCCCCGTACTGTGTTGCCACTGCTTGCTTTGAAATCATTGCGTTTTTTAATCAAAAACTTGTAAAACTTTTAGAAAATATGAAATAGATAAAAAGACAAATTGAAAATTCGGGCTTCCAGGTGTCCATATTTGGGTGGAGGATTATCTTAATCAAAATTTGATGGCTCTATGGTAGCATTGTTTTTTCACATTGGGAGATTCATGCAGATTCTTACTTATTTAACGTCTTTAAATACAATAAATAAAGTAATATAGGGTGATAATATTTGGTGGCAACAATTTGAAAACTGACATGCCATTTATAGAGATTCACTGCAAAATGCTGTTTCTAATCTAATTTCTCATTTGGGACTAATATCCGTTTTAGGCTGAAAAAAGAAAACAGAAAGAAAGAAAAAACCCTAGACTGAGAAGAGCAGTCTAGGGTTGTCTAGAGTTGGAAAGCATTTTAAATGCTGGACAAAGCTAATCAAAGAAGGATAAAAAATGTCAACACCCAGAAAACATCTTCATAAGATTCTATTCACTCCTTCCTTGTTCAGTGAATAATGAAAATTCCTATCCCAGCATTAGTCTTGAACAGAGCTCTATTTTACAACCAAATAAAGGAATTTAAATTAAATCAGATATTATGGTCAAGTTTTTTAGTTTATTGGCTAGTGCATGACATAACATGATCTCCTAAGTTATGCTAACTGCGCGTGAGCTTCCATGAACCGAGTATTACACCTTACACGTACTGTCTCTGTTAAGAACACAAAGAAAGGTGGGAATAATATTAAAATAATTGATACATATTTTATGATTTCCTAATAGTGTAAACACGAAGATTTTAAAAACTGCCATGTTTTTGCAGCAAAAAAATCACTGGAATCCAAAGATGGAGGGAGGGGAGTGTTAAATTTTATATACCCTAAATGTTCCATTACATGCATGTAAATATCAACACATACATACTATTACATACATTACAAAAATCAACATTATACACAATATATAAAATCATATTACATACATAAAAATCAAATTTATTAATATACAAAGAATGGTATGGGTAATGCAGAAATAAAGGTATTGTTCTGTTATTGGGACAACATTCAGAAATGTATGGATATGTATTTGTATGTATGTGAATATATGTGTGCAAATTCTCAACACACACAGACATTCGTACTTATATGCATATATGAATACATACATGCATATGTACATACATTTCTGAACCTGGTCCTGATAATAGAACAGTATCAAAATAACTTCTAAATATATCAACAGCTTCCTCTTTCCCCCCAAAGCAAGTTTTCTTACCTGAATTAGCATCTAAACAATTTCCCAGCCAATGCAGCAACAAATCTCTTGATTCTTTTGATTTCCGTAACATTTTATCAAACAAACGGTACATGTCCTTCATAATATTAGTTAGAGGCTTTAATAAATATGAAAGAAAAAAACAACAGCTAATCAATTTCACACTTTATTTATCTAAAATAATATTATGCATCAGCTCAGGACTAATTATATATATGTACTTTGAATTCAAATTATTCATTTACATTTTGCAAAAAAAAAAAAAAAAAAATTCATTAGATTTTCTACATTGACTAAGGAAAATTTTAAACACTAGATCAGCCGTTATAAATTACATAATTGCATGTGTGTAAGTTATTTTTAATTTAATCTTATATGTAATCATATACCATATTTACTCATGTATGTTCCCCCTTTTCAACTAATTTTATCATATGAAAGTCGAGAGGAGAAAATTATGCAAATGGTTTAATTTCCGAAGGATAAAGTTACAGTAAGAACACAGCAAAGTATTCATGGACCTATTGCTGGTAAATATCATAATATTACTTATTTAAAAGAAACATATTTTCAGGGTTGCCACTCAAACAGGAGAATAAAATTCCCTGAATTTTCCAGGTGTGTTTTAAGAAAATTCCAGTTCTATCCACGTACACTGTGGTGAGAGTAAATTAATTATAGTATAATTTGAAAATACAAAAATTTGCCAATTACACACACACGCATATATACATATATAAAATCCCCAAAGTATTATTATTATAATAAATAGAAATTGTTTTCTCCACTGGGGATTGACATTAGAAGTTGCTCAGTAAGGATTAAAAAGTGTCTTTTTTACAGACATTTTGCAGCCAAAGGAAAGAAAGAAATCCATTTAATGATATTTAAAAATAAATTCAATTGCAAGTTAAGATATCCATACGAGTTTCACCTTTACAAATGTGCTTTGCATACTGTTGTTTTTAACATTCTAGAAGTTTGAAGTGATATTGATAGTGCTCAGTCATACTGAGAAGAGCTGTATGAGTGCTTTTGTGGAAAGTTCCAAAACTGTAAAGTGTTTCTTTTAAGAAAATAAATTTTATCAAGCTATCTCCGGTTCTGTGTGTATTCAATTCATTATGAACATGTACACATGTAACAGTATCTAATAAAATATCTTCATTTCAAATGCTCTGTATCTTAAACATCACACTGCTCTTACTGTTGCCCACTGTTACTCCTTAGGCCTCAGATTATTTTGTACTGATTTAGTACTGCTTATTACAGTTTGCAAATCATCAGCATCACTGTCATTGTCTTCATTGCCATTCATTCTGTCTTCCCAATAATCCTCAGAACCATCAACAGCATTTGATATCTCTGTTTTCCTGAAGCTTTTCACTATTATTGTTCCATCAATCACAGCCCATGTACCTAAAATCCATGAGCAAATCAATATTAAGACAAAAACAATAAGAATATGGATAGATCCATTTCAAAATTTAGGGATATTTGCTTTTTGAATGCCTTGAAAATGTTGAAAATCATATTATTATTATTATTATTATTATTTAATTTCAGAATCTTGAAATGAGCAGCTATGGCAAAAATATGTGCGTAAATACAGTCTTACTTTAATTCATAATAGCACTCTTTTTAATTAGATAACTTCCTTTTTCATCTTAAGAACAGTAGCATGCTTATAACTATAAAACTTTTGTTATATGCACATTAATCTTTTTATTTATAAGAAGTGTGTCATTTCTGAATTAATGGTTATCATGTTATATTTACTCAATGCCAGTGATATATATGCCAATGCAATGGCAATATGCAAAATATCAGTTCTCTCTTAAATAGCATACATTTCCTTAGTTTAAAACAATGAGACTAAAATATCTGGTGTCCTCCTCCATAAACAAAATATCTCATATAATCATTATTTGAATGTTCCATTTCATGCAGCTTTTAGTTTCATGCCTCGCAAGATATCTTCACAACTTTAAGATCTTTCACCAAGTTCAGATATCTGCTTGCTAATATGCATACAACTATATATTAATTTTGTCTGAATTACAAAAGTCCAACAGAAGTGATGCCTTTTTTATGTAGTATAGCCACACAAGATAGACAATATTTTGAACATTTTATTTCAAGTGTCACATAAATACACACTTCAATATTACATACTAACGGCTTTCTGCAAGAAAACTACAATTCTAATCCTTACATAAAAGCATAGATCTGGCATAGATTGAAAAAAAAAAAAAAAAAGGAGCATTACTTTTGCTGTAGCCTATATTTCAGTCAAAAATATCTATTAAATTTTCTTATAGTTTCTCAAAAAAAAAAAAAAAAAAAAAAAAAAGTATACAGTTAACAATAACTTAACACAATTTAAAAAAACAGTCATTATATATTGAGCATATATAACTTTAATAAATTTAATTATTTAAAAATTTTAATTCAACTTTCATGCACAATTCTTTGGAAGCTAAGACAACGAATACTGTATTTTCCTCTCCACTTTTTTTTACTAATGTTATCGTTCGAAAATCGAGAGCAGAAAATTATGCAAATAATTAAATTCTGAAGGCCGTTGTTATAACGAGAATATAACATATAAAAAGCAGTCATGGATAAACAAACTACAAATAACCATCACCATACTATTTCTTTAACACGTTCATACTGGGACCAATTTTTATGTTCTTCGCCATGAGGCGGCGCTTGAATTTTTGCCACGTTTCACCTGGTGGCGCACAATTATTACCTGTTCAGACCTGTATACGAGTTGTACATTTGCTAATAGTATAGCGAGTACTTATTTTGCAAGCTGTGTAACTCATGCAGTATTTTTCATCTTAACCTCGGATTTCTGCCAATAATTATAACTAGAAAGGCAGTTAGAATGTTTTTTAATTTTTGCCCTTATAAATAATAGATAACAGGGATATGGAAATAAGTGATTCATCTGATGAATCTATCAATAGAAGAAGAAATATCAATAAAAGCAATCTAATAACACAATTGAATGCGTACCACTGGTGGTACAAGCCGCCCGATAAGACAGACTAGTGCGGGCCACCGGTGGTACGCACCGTCTGATGAGACAGACTAGTATGGGCCATTGGTGGCCCGCGCCGTCGTGAATGTGTAAAGAAAGCTACATTTCAACAGAAATACATAGTACTATTAAAATACCTAATAAGATATCTTCATTTCTACTTCCCTGTAACTTGATTCTTGTTGTCTTTGCTACTCCTTAGGCCTCAAATAATCCATGAATAATTAGAGATGAATGTGCAGTTCACTCAGCAGAAACACAGGCTGAATGTCACTTCATGTTTATTTTGCTGTGATTGACTGGTTCTTGTATTAGGGTAGTATGATGTTCAACACTTAGACAGGAAAGGTTCAACAGAACATTCACACATAGTTTGAGATAGTTATTTTTTTTAATAAGATGAAAGCAATTATTATGTGGTTGAACCCATTTTAAAATTTACAGCAGCCTGTTCCTAAATGCAATTAGTAAATGAGAAAATAGGCATTTTCTTTTTTCTTTCTTTTTTTAATTTTCAAAACCTGACCCTAAAAAGCTAGGGAGTGAGAATACATAAAAAATATGGTAGTTAACAATTTTTATTGCCCCCTCCAAAAAAAGGAAATCTTCACAAAAGTTTTACTGCAAAATACAGCTCCTCAAACTCCAGTTCAGACAAGATCAAGACATCAGTTATCTAATGTAAATGAAGATAGGGCATCTAATTTTGAAATTCAAAAATAAACCACTTAAGAATGGCAAATTAGTGAAAAATACTAATTTCAGAATTCAAAAGGTATGCAATAGTCCTTTTCTAAAAAAAAAAGGTTCACCCCCCAGCACTATTAGAAAGTATAAAAGTCATGCCTAAGGTAATTTGAAGATTTAAAAAAAGTCGTAACAAACGGGTTTAGGGTTGCCATTAAATGGGAAGGAGAGGCAGAGTTTCCAAATTTGGCATGAAATTACCCTTTTGAGGACAAAGAGAGTTGTAGCGTGGAGAGTCTTGAAAGTACATTGAGTTCCGAGAACGACCGAACCGAATCGGAAGCTGTACTCTAGTGCTTTACTGTGAAGCTGATTATTTCAGCATATTTGTCAAAGTTTGCTTTTTTTTTTTTTTTTTTTTTTTTTTTTTTTTTAGACTGTAAACGTGTTTTTGAAGCTGTCCTGAATAATACAGGTTAAATAAATTGTGTTTGATAGTTCATCAAGTATTGTCGTCAAATCACTCCAAATACACGAGGCCCACCAGCGGCCAAGTGGTAAAGTCGCTGAACACTGGTAGTTCGGTCTGAGGTTCGAATCCTGTGAACAGGCTGGCTGCATGGGTGTTTTCGTGGTTTCCCCCATGTGTGATGTGTATACGAGCCAGTTTCCCTTAGAAAGTCCTCCACGAAGGCATCCCTCTCCTTAGGCAGATAGCCCTAGCGTGCTTTGCCATAATTAAATAAACCAAACAAATACATGAACCGGTGCAGAAATGCAACATTATGATAAACAACAACAGTGAATTAAATCATATCATTAGAGGAAAATCTCAAGCAAATAATAAATGCATGAAGATATGATTACCAAACATAAGCGTTCTCCTACAATCGCATGATCCTGTGATGAGTATCTTGATGGTTCTTGAAAAAATTCGAAGGGTTCCATCTCTGACTTTGGAAGGCATGAAACACTTAGAGGAAGTCCTAGTAAACTATTTTGATACGCTTTTCCATTTTTCACTTCATTGGGCATGCTGTGCTGTATAACAGCCTTAAAAAAATTGACGAAATTAAAAATATAGGACAACAATATAATTTGTAACTCATAAAGATATTACTAACAACATAAATTCATAGGCATTACTAGCTAAAAAAGTGAAAGCAAAATCAATCACAATTTTATAAATCATCATTTTAAACACTAACAAAGAAAAGGAAATATGAAATATGTTTAAAATAAATTATAAGGATTTTTCATTCATACAGAGCACTATAAATATTTTAGGGATCATTTTTTATAAAATAACAACTACAGGAGCTTATGCTAGATAAGATTGTATATTCATCAATTTTTAAAACATTAATATAATTACTTAAACATTCATTCCTTACTCATATTAAATTAAGCACTATTTTGGTTTTCTAATTAATTTATTTTTTCTTCATGCAAGCACTGTCAACATTAACACGAAACAAGTAATTTAAATAAGCATATCAACAATCATTGATCTTTCGAACCAAATATACTAAATGAAAGTTTAATGTACATACACTGAAAATTAAACAAACAAATTCAAATTAAGTTTGAACTACATGTTTAATAAATATCAGCCAATTATTGATTAAAAGCAGCATATTATATTGGATATCAATCATACAAAAAAGTAAATTAAAGCACATCTCTATCATGCTGTTTCAAGAGTTGGCAAAGTTAGCCCAGGCATTGATTTCAAATGATAATCTTTGAATGAATGAGCTATTGTAGCAGCTCTTTTCATCATTCATATCCTTGATAAATATCAAAGGAGGGGAAAATTAACCAACCTTTTCCAGGGAATATTACATGGTTGAATAAGTGATAAATTGGAATCATAAAGAAAATTATCTAAAATTAAAAAAAAAAAAAAAAAAAAAAAAAAAAAAAAAAAAAAAAAAAAAAACAGAGGTCATATAACTTTCTAAATTATGATTTAAAAATAATACCCATAAATAATCTATCTACTAACTTTTATTAAACTTTCAGATGCAGTAAAATAATTCAGAATATCAATGTACAGAAATAGATATCTATCAACTATAGATGTCTTTAGTAGTTTCTCTTGCAAATAACTGAAAGAAGGTCTCAGCACTGAAGCTAATTCTCCATTTTCAACATCGATGATGGACGCTGAGACATCAATTATAAATTGCGTTAGTACTTCACAGTGACCTAGAAACACATGCCAAAATGGAACAAATTAGAAAAACTTACATAAGTACTTTTAAAGTATTTATAGGATCAACATTTAGATCAAGAATCATATTTACACAATAAAATGAGGGAAGGATTCAAGATTGAAGAAAAGACTAATGAACAAATATTCCTCCCTTATCCACCAAAAAACATAAATCAATACCATCATATTCATTACACATGCAATACTTTTTTTAATAAAAAAAAAGTTCTTCTCAGTCTCTCTGAGACCATACTGTGCCCCCCTCGACTTAAAGACACTTTGTTTTGAGCAAAGTATATTGAGTAATAAGACTTTACAAGTATGAGTGTTTAAAAAATTTTCTTTCATAGACACATTCATTTATTTGTTTTTTCCTTGGGAATTTTTTTTTTTTTTGGTTAATTATAAATCCCCCTTACTCCACTTGATTAACAGTTGATTTATTTATCTTTTCTGCAAGCATCCAGTAATTTTAAATATGGAATTTTTCTTTCCATTTTATTTTTCAGATAATTTTATTTTAAGAGTTGATTATTTTTTCATTACTGTTTATGTCTTACGAATCTTCACATTATTACATAGATTCAATTGACCAGAATGTTCTTGACTAAATCAAATTCCAATAGTTGACAATTATCCGATTAAACGTAAAATGATTTTTCTTTTGTTTTTCAGAACAAATGTTTTATTTGGTGTTTACCTGTTTTTATATACCTCACAATTTTATTACATATGTCTTATTTTAGATTTGGTAAAATATATTAGTAGAATTTAAGAGTTGACTGTCATTAAACAATTACTACTTAAGTTTGACTTTTTTTTTTTTTTTTGTCACTTTAATAGGCAAATCTGAAACCATTTCATTTAAACAAAATCTTTTTCATAATGAGCATTTCTACACTTCCTGCTTCTCCTGAAAAATATTTTCTTGGCATTTGCTACACAATTTTCTATGCCATCGTTCTATTTTTATTTTATAAGTTTATAATACATATATTCTTCTAAACCTTTTATTTATTTATTTTTAAATTTTACTACTAAAAATGTTACAATATTATTTTCTTCTTCATTAATCTTACTTTTTTCCTGCTGTATTTTTTACTTAGTATACATGTCAACAGAATCTAAGAAAAGAATTAGCATATAGAAGTACATTAAGAATAATTAACTGTAAAATCTGACATGCTATTATTTTGTCATTTCAGTACATATATTTCAATTTTGATAAAAACAACGCAGAAAAATTACTACAGAAGCTGTAATTAAGCTTTAAAATAACACTGCAATTAGGTTTTAAAATAACACTACAATTTTCATTTCACTTTATTGATACTAATTAAATTGATTATTGATATTATTAACTGATATTAATGTCAACTAACCAGAATATTCAGGTTTAATCTTCTTAATTTTAAGGATGCATAAATAACCACTGTAACAATAGGATCCCTGTGGTATACAATATAGCATTATATATTTTGTTGCTTTGTTTGATTTTTATTTATTGAGTTGACTTTTTTTTTTAACCTTTTGTACACAAATGAATTTTTTTCACATTTTATGGAAACAGTGGCATAGCCAAGATTCCGAAGCCAGGTTCGTTGACCCACAGCGGCGTCTTAAATATGCACACATAAAAAAATATTAGATTAAAAATTGGTTATAATTTTAATAATCAAAATTTAAGTTATAATTACTTTAATTCCAAAATTTAGGTGCAATTTGGGCCTGTTTAAGAGAGATCAATTTCTTTATGTCTGGTATTAAAGTTTTAACAGTAAATTAAGATCCACTTTTGATTTTGTTCTGTATTTATTTTTCAAATATAACATGGAAGAAAATCCTTGTTAACACAAACAGGTTGTACCAAAAGGCAATAAATAGTTAATAGTTTTATATGAAATGCCTTTACATTCTTTATTTTGGTTCAGCCGTAAGTTAACAAGTGTGTTACTTTTGAAATATTCAGTCAGAGTTCGATAGCAGGAAATTTCTATCAATTGTTCTTTTTCTTCATGAGATAAAATTTCAGGTACATTTGAACAAAATGGATTTCTAATCCACTTTTCTACTTCATAATCCTCGGGAAAATACATGCTGAAATTATTTATCAATCAAAAATAATGATTTTTAACGTCTTCTTTTATTTTCAAATTATTTTTGGTTAGAAAACTTTCTAAAAGTGGTAAAAAGCTTAAAACATTATTATCCGATTCTTTGATTATTAGCTAGAGTTTTGATTTTCTTTTAAAACTGTATTTATTTTATTGCTAATGGTAAATGAATTAGCACATTGTCCCTGTAATCTTAAATTTAACTCATTTAACTTTCCGAAAATATCAGCTAAATATGCTAAACGCTAACCATAATTCACTGAAAATTTGAATTCATGATCGAAGTTTAAAAAGACGATTTAAAACTTTTGCCACTGGATAACCACCTTACTTCGGAATATAACAAAGGTGTTTTATGTTCACTGCTCATCTCTTGGCATAAAACAGTAAATATTCTTAAATTTTAAGCTAGGCTTTTAATAAAATTAAAAATTTTCACACCTTGGTTGAAAGCAATTTTCAAGTTTTTGGGGAC